CCTAATTTTGACAAATCAAAATGGTCGTTGACTGTAGTACATTATAGAAAACTCATGCCATGTTCTATGCTGTTAGGTTAGGACCCACTTTCACCGATGTAGCCGTTTACCAAAATTTGTTTTCAAAAAAATTATAATCAAGATACTTTATCCAAAGGTTGCTTATGTACTTTGGTAAGATCGACCAATAGGACGCCGACAGGATTCGCACATTAAAAAATTAAGTCCCCTTAGGCAAGGACACGTGTTTACCTATTTACTAGAAGTTGAAATGGCTTTAAATAGATAATGTGTGACATTTTCTTTCCGCAGAATCTCACGTGTATAAATTAATTTTCTATTCTTGCATAGACCAAAATTACATTTGTGCTCCTCACATCATTCCGGAAGGATACCCTCATAGGATGGTTTTGAAATGCGCAATGATGTCAATTATTTATTAACACAAGGGTCTCTTATCATTCTTTTCCTACATACTCTTGTCTCATATCGGAATTGCCCTACCGTTTCATAGTAATTTTGAGCTTAAAAGAATTAATAAAATTGAGCTTGCAATTGTAGTATATTGTTATTATTGACGTACTTCATTATGTTAGAGCACCGTTTGGATGAAATCGGAGATATCCTTTGGGATGCATTCTGTGCAAGCCTTCGAGTGAGTCAATGTATTATCTTGGATACAAATTCTTCAGAGAAGCTTAAAAAAAGATGAACCATTAAAATTTCTCAATCAAAATTTGATTATCATGAAAGAATTGGGAAGGAAATTGTTAAGAATTATTTTATCGAAGAGAAGAAAAAAATCCCTTATACTGTTTATCAAATAATTCTAACCACTTATGGTAATAAATCTGAGTTACCTGTAACTTTAATATGCTTTGAAGATCTTCTTACATTAATATTTATTGATACGAGTTTATTAAAACAAGCTACAAGTTTAGAAATCATTCGATCCTTTTTTGATAACTTTCTTTTTGGTTTAAAATCTAAAATTATTGTAAGAGAAAAAAGTTAGATAGTTTTGCATTATCTTGGGTAGAAAACTTGAACTCATTAATTCTCGGAATTACAGATTATTTCCTATATTCAACGAATTTTTCATGTATGAGGAAATCAAGACGACAATAATCGGAATAAGTCAGAAACAAAATAAAGTCGTTAACTATATCAATTATCTTGAATTAAATTTAAGTAAATACATCGCTTGAATCTTAGCCTTAAGAATAAAGTTAAAATCTCTGGTAAGTAGAAAAAATTTTTATCACGGTAATTTAAAAATTAAATCATTATTATCTCTATAATTAGTTTTTATCTATAAATAAATAAAGATTTATTTTTAAAAATTAATTATATTTATTTTTTTTTTAAAAAAAAAAAAAATTTATAAAAAAATTTTGCTGAACAGTAAGTAGTATGTATATCAACAACGTTGGCATTCCGAAAAGTTGGTGGAACGTTAACTTTATTTGGAAAGGATTGATAATATAGTTTAAACGTTTCTGACTTTATAATTCATAGCTTATGCTTTATGCTTTACGCATATGCTTTTTATGCCTTATGCCTTATGCTTTATGCTAAATATCAGCTTAACGGACAGTGGTTTAAATATATAGAAAAAAAAATTCAAATACTTACCCGATTCGACGCAACACCCCAACAATCAATAACAAGGGCAGAAGGCGGTTTTATTTTTTAAAATAATTGCACGATCGGCGACCTTTATCTTTTTTTTTTTTTATTAAAAAAAAAAAAATTCATTATTTTCAAAACTTTCGACGGATCTCAATGGTTGAGTTGGTCACATAAGTTTTTTATTTAATTAATCTTATCAGTTCCATTCTGTAAAATATTTTTTGGAAGTTGGTCATTTAATTGTTTCGTTTAAACAATCAAGAATTAATTAAATTATTTAAAAATAATTAATTTATTATGGTAATTGCTTTTTATTTTCATCAAGAATCTTTAGTTAAATTGTTTAACAATGTCTTATTTAACTGGGTTACTAAACAATGGCAATTATATAATCCTGTTATTCTATTATTATTTTCTTGTTCCAAATTATTGTACATTCGATTAATAAAATTATATAAATTATATGCTAAAGTTATGCCAAGATACAAGAAAATATTTATGATTGAAAGTTTAAATAAAAAATTTCTTATAAAATTATATAAATTATAAAAAACAATTACTTGCACATTTTGTTAATTTTCGCATTGTCATCATTTTCAAATTAGTAATAAAATTCTTTTAAACATTCCAGATAGAATAACCTGGCATGTAGCAACTGGCTGCGCGTAATTTAAAAATTCTATTTTAAATTTTACTATATAAGGGGCATTCACATGATGAAATACATTGATTGGAAATTTTTGTAATTAAGAAAGATTTTAATTTAACTATCTGTTATTGTGTAATTGGCAGACGATAAATAATTTATCCTCCGACTGATTGGAATAGTAAAAGTTTTACTTATCCCTAATGCATAAAAGGGTATTGTATACATGCCAAAGGAATATTCATAAAAAAATTAACTTGGAAAATTGAGTGATCTGGAATACTGGAAACAGAACCTCTAAACCTATCGGTCATGGTTTAATAGAATTTAATATTTCTTTATTTGATAAATTCATTTCTTCTTTATTTAAATAAAAAATAAAAACAAATGATAATATTAAAAATATTGTTATTCAGCTAATTCTATTTATATTAATGTTTAAATAATTTAATATAATTTCCTTTTTTTAGTAAATACTGCAAATTTTTAATATTCTGTTTGTTCCATCAATATTTATTCTTTAAAGCTTATTGTTGACTTTTTTTGCTTCTCTTTTATTCCAGCATCTCACATTTTTGGTGCATATGAGAGCAACTAATAAAATAAATAAAATTATGAGGTAAGGATATGTTTATCATTTGAAATAACTAAAAATAGAATAAAAACGTGCCTGATATTCAGTAATTAATCAATGATGCTTCTTTAGGTTTACAACTACCGTATAATGATTGGTAATAAAATATTCGTTAACTGGTTAAAAATTAACCTCAAAATCACCGTAGTGATTTAAGAGATTTCTTCGTGATAAACCAACCAGTTTTCAAATCAAAAACTAATAGCCTTAAAGAAATCTAAATAAGATCATTAAGTCAACAAAATAACATCAATGATAACTTATAATTTCAAAAATAAATAATAAAAAATATTACTATATTTACCCTTCCATTACTTTCAGTATCATTTATTAGTTCACAATCTATTAATGTTTTCTCATAGAAACTCGAGAATGTCGGGTCAGTATATACAGGAAACAATAGATTTGGAATTTGATGATAGTAATTTTTACGATCGATCTGTATTATCTTCGCTTAGTAAGTGAAATTCTTAAGATTTTAAAAACAGATCTTTAAATAAAAAACAGGTTGGTTTCCCATGTATGTAAGAATTATTTCACGGATTTTCACGGCAAAGCCGTGAAATCATGATATTCCACAGTGACTGTAGATTTCGAAAGGCATCGAAAGTTTCGACTTTACCAAAATGGGATTTAGGTTTTGCCTCGTAACCTTAACCGTGATTCCGTGAAATAATCATCACTGTTCCGTCATTCAACATAAGCTTTTTAATCCACCATTATTTCATTTCCATCATTTTTGTTTCTGTTATTTCTGATACTGTGATATGAAATATATTAATCAGTTTACCATGAATCGTGAAATAACGTAAAGAAAGTTGTTAGGTATACATTTTCCGTCCGTTTCATAACTAAAAACAAGATCAACGAACTCGTCATTTTGCAATTCCTCTGAAAATAATTGGTTGCGCCCCGTTAAAGAAATAAATGTTAGTTATTCAGATAATAATTAGGATGAATAAATAAATGAACACAACATACCAGGGAAAACTATTGCAAAATTTGTTATAGGAGAAATAATTATCAAATGAAACTTTGCGGTTATGTAACATGAAATAAAAAAAGCAAATTATCGTTATTACGTTATTTCTGTACATAACCTGTGAAAGTAACTATTAACGTCGATACTTCAACTAACTCTGACTCTTGACCTCAATAGAGGTTGGAATCGTTCAAGATTTTTAGGTAGGTTACAATCTCTAATTTACATTTTTTTCCTCCCTTTATATGTGAAAAAAGTACTTGTTAACTGTTTCGAAATCACTAAAGCTTGATTAACAACGATAAAAGGTAAATATAATAAATATGCCGAAAAAGTAAACTAACATTTTGAATAATTTGATTTTTTTTAACGAGGCCAAGAAAAAATTTACTCGATGTAACCGCAGGCCTGAAATGTGTCTGTCATCTAGTCTCGTGATATCACGTTTTAATGTTTTAGTTTTTTTTTGGTTATTTGTCACCAGATCGGCGGAAATTAAGATCATCTGACGCTATAATTATATAATTACTTAAAAAAAAAATTAATCAATTTTACTTATCTCCAGTATACAAAGCAGTTAAGCCTTTCGTGAATCAAACATTAAATCTTGTGAATTGACCTTACGATATACAGCAGAGGTGGCTCTAACGAAACAATTACCAAACTGGAACTGGAAAAGAAAATTGGAAAATCACTCAGCCTGCAAATGCTGTTGAAATGAAATAAATTTTCTAGGAGCAATCCATCACCAGCTATAATGTGATCAAATAGGCCATATTAGTCGACGTTGTCCTCAAGACGAGAACAAAAATTCTGATAATACAACAACAAAATCCATTGCGGTAAATCCCAAGCTACTTTAACAAATATAATACTGATATAATTTACTACTGAGCATCCTGATATCAAGTCTTTAAACTTTAGGATGCATCTTCTGAGGGTAAGATGCGAAACCAGAAGTTAATCTCTCTTTTTATATGTTGTCCTATCTAGCTCAAGAAAACAAATCGTTACAAGAAGCCTCAACAACCTGAGCGATAAGCCAGCAAAGAAATTTCTATTTGGACAGAAACCTTCCCATCCCTGCATTAAATATTTTCTTCAAAATGGAAGAAATACTTCTTATGAATAGGATTCATACCAAAGTTCAAAAAGAAATTCCGGTACTACAGGCTAAGAGAAAGTTCGTTGCTACTTCAGTATAACTGTTTATCTCGGCTCACATATTATTCTTTGATATCTAAATGCAAATATTTCTGTTGTTTAATTGTCTTCAGAGATTTACAGTAATTCTTCCAGAGTTTATACCTCATAGTGCTAAATTTATGGACCAAGATTAATTCACCTCAATTGACATGTTTAACGTCTTGTATTGTGATACTTTAGTCAAAGGAATTGAGATCCCTTGATCGTTGATACGGATGCTGCAGAGAGATTGTTTCTCACCAACTATTGAATAATTTGGGAATGTATATTGATCGATCTACGTCATTATGATGATCAATCTTAGTGGAGAGTACTAGGAGACATCGATATTGTTGTAACAAAAGCCTCCTCAAATTTTCAAAAATAACTTGCCAAGCAAAGTAGAAGATAAGAACCGTATCCAATCAATCCGGAAATCCGATTAGCCATCCTTCGAAAAGGTAGATCAGATTATCCGTCGGATAGACGATGAATTTAATGAAAATTATTAGTGTCACTGATGTTTTTGAGGTAAGATACAATTCTTTTGGAATCTGCACTGCTAAACGAGTATTGGTATATTGAAGGAGGGATTCTTTCTTTGACAATGCCTTTTACGCTGAGACCAGATAATCTGTTATCTATCTGCATTAATTCAACTTATTTTTTCTTTAAGTTTTTAAGAACATTTTACTCCGAACTTGGTTATTTGCACTTAGGAACGTTTTATAACGTTCTTTATTTTATATAACGCTAAACTAAATGTTCGGAACCTTGAAACCTTAGAATCTTGGATCATTCGTTAGTTTTTTTTTAAATTATCACTATTTAGCGGAACCTTGAAACATTGTAACCGATTGAAGGCAAGTCCTAATTTTAATTTTTATTGTTATTACTTAGAACCTTTGAATAATTTATTAGTTTATTTTTTATTTAAAACTAATACATTTGTAGAACCGTCTGGAACCTTGGACTTTGAATCAGATCGGAGGTAAATCCTAATGGAATAATTCGTCAGTTATTTTGATTTTTAATAATAATAACTAATTCTATTACTTATTATCACTTACCTTTAAACTTGAGGTATTGGTCCTTTAGAAACGTTTTCAACGTTTATTTCTTTATTTTTTAGAACTACGGCCTTGAACAAACCGGACTTGATTAAGGGAGGCGGTGCGTGTTTTTTTTTAATTTTAAATTTCTTAGAAACGTTTCTTTATATTTTTTTTTTTTTTTTTTTTTTAAAGAACTTCAGAACGATATCGAATTAAGAATTGTAATCGGAAATAAATATGACGATTTTAGCTAAACCACCAAAGGGTTATTTTCTGATGCTTACAGCAAATAGAACCAGAATGAATGCAAACTTTTAAACTTATAATATTTTAATCAAAATTAAATAGCATTTATTTTAATTAGTATACATTTATTTATTTTTTTTTATTACTGAAAATATGAACTTTTAAAATTGTATGTGATTTATATCTTTAATTAAATTTTAACAGAAGTTTAGAACACAAAATTAAAATGCAAAAATTGTTTCGTTTATCACAAAAAAAAAAATAAAACATTATTTAAATATTTATAAAGATCATTAACCATTAACTAACAAAAAAAACAAGGTGCATTTGTTTTTTAAAAATTCTTTATTAGAATAAGCTTTTTTTTTTTAAAAAAAAAAAAAAAGAAATTTCTATTAGGATGATGTTGAAGATCAGTTCCAGGTTTTATCCCTGAAGAAACCCCATGACATTCTTAAAGAGAACATAATAGAACTACTATCGACATCTTAAGTTTCAAGCCTCACCTTCCAATGAGTCATTGATGTTAAAGGATCATTTGTTAAATGTTAGTGTTTAATCCATATATCACCCTTCTGATAAATACAGTCCCCGGCGAAAAGAATGGTGGTAGATATACCGCATCTATATTCGGCTGCAGCGTCTCACTTTTCTGATTTTGAACCATTGTTAATTTTACCAAATCGGATAATGGAATGCTAATTTTAAAAGGTAAGTTGTAAAAATTATTTGTTATTTCTATTCTTTAATTTTATCTGCAAAATGATGCCATCTTCTCTTGAAATACAACGAAACTCCGTTAAATCACTTACGCAGCAAAATGTCTGTAATGTGAAGGAAGTTTCACAAAATTAGGAGTTCATGTGAGCGATATGCCAGTATTCTGCGTAAAATTGGTATAATATGATATAATTTTAAAAACATATTTTATAAGTTTTATTTTATTCATTCTTTTATTATACATTCTTTATTTTAATACATCCTTTATAATAATTATAATAATAAATCAATTCTTTTACAATTATTCACTAGAGTCAAAGTGTGAAGTAGGACGTGCAGCCAGAGCAATGCATAAAAAATGTATTGTAAATGTGCATTATCACATTAATCAATAATTTTTGTGTTTCAGAATATAAAGGTAAAGCAGGTAATTCTAACAAGATTTGGAGACAACTATGAAATAGAAACAGCGTTAACGATATTCAAGAAAATATCATTGATCTACTTGAAGTCTCAGAAAGTGAAGATGATAAAGGTAATTGTATACTTTATCTCTATCTCTTTGCTTGTTATGTTAATATATATTAATGTTTAATGATATAAATTAGACAATAGCTAAAAATTCAAATAGGAACAACAATGAAGATAAGAAACTAATAAAATCGTAATATCACATGATGCAAAATATGAAACCTAGCTGAACGAGCTAATGTAATAAGTAAGATCATTTAAATATTTTCTCTTTATTAACGATTTATTTTATTTTTAAAAAATGTTATTAACATCTCATATTTTTAACTTAGGAGCAAAATCGAACTCGAATCAAATCAGATTTAGCGAATTTGAATCAGATTTATCTTTTTCTAATAGAATAGCATATATTTACATACAACTACTATATTTGTATTATAAATTTACTATATGTTTATTGCAAAGAATACATACATTTACTATAAAGTTATTATACATCTACTTTAAATCATTTATATGTTTACTTTTAATTAGCAATATATTACTTTATAATCGTGATACATATTCTTTATTATTACTATACAACTGCTAGACTATTACTATATTTTGCTATATATTTTCTATATTATACTATACTATTGCTATACATTAACATGACTGTTACGTCATATTAGCCATACGCCTACTATTTTTTATAATATATGTAGTGGCTACATGACTACTACCTAGCTCCGATTTCATGTATTTCAGTAAACTAGGACTATTTATCTTATGAAGTCACCTCTTGCAATGCCACCTTTATTGTCTACTTATTAAAATTACTAGTCTCATTCTACTCATAGTAATTATGTGATTTATTTATATATATATTTTTTACCAATATGTGTTTGTTTATTGTCGATTATAAATTTTAATTTATAATTTGGTAATTAAATTGAAAGTGACTACTGGTGAAAATAACAGAGTGACAAATGGAATTTTAATAAAAATGAAAAGTAAAAAAGCGTAACAAATAATATGCTATATGATTTTATAGGAAAATTACTTGTATCATACTAATAGAATTACCTTGGTAGACTTTTAGATTTTAGATTTAATATGTAGACTTCATATGTTTAGATCAAAAAAATTTAGTTCACTTTTCTTAAATAGCACCAACTGGATTAGTTTTCTTATATTTTGTTAATAAAATCATACCCTTTAAATTTTGATTGCATAAAGTGTGATAAATCTGATACAAAATATTATACTAAAATATAGTCAAAACTCAATATAATGATGCTGGATTTATTTATATGAAAATCTTGAAAAGAATATCATCATATCCAAATTATACTAATATTAATATTCCATTAAGGTAAAGGGAAATAAAATATTATAGTTATATAAAATTTTGAATAAATCAAATATCAGTATATCAAAGTCAGACTGTGCTTCATAATTTATTTCATTAGGATTTTTATTTAAATGTATTTAGTAAATGAAAATTCAAGAATTCTATAACAAATTAATTATAAAAATAATTGTACATTTTTTATCTGAAACTAAAATAGTTTCATAATTGAATAATTTAATTTAGAATAATAAAATAAATCTACATTAAAATTGTTTAATTATATTTAAAAATTTATAAACTTCTAAACCTGTTTTCACTTACTTTATCTATACTTCTTATACAGTATTTTAAAGAAAAATGCAAATCAGAATAAATAATACATTTAAATCCATCTCTTTCATATTCTTCTACACGCTTTGTATATTTGTCTAGAAAGTTTATGTTAAATTAAACGCAAAATAATTAGCAATAGTTGCAATGACATTATAATTCAAATTAAAAAATCGACAAAAATTATAAAAAACTTTTACCACTTGATTTATATTCTAACTAACATTAGTTCTATGTAGAATTGTTCGCTATTTTGAAATTTAAAATTATATAATTTTATGTAATTAGGTTATAGATAGTTAAGTAATTAAAAAAAAAACTTATAAAAATTAAAAATTAAACTTTATAACAATTAAAACATTATAAAATTTTGCAAAAAGGTTTAAATTTAATTTATTGGAAGAATAAATTTAAGCGATACACTCATGCTTATTATAATGCTTAGTTTTAAATAAACTTACCCTAACTTTAATAATTAACTATAACTCTAATCACCCCATATGAGATAGTGATAGCTGTAATTTCATGCAGTAAAAAAAATAAAGTTCCTAAATTACATTGTAAAAAATGAAACTCAGAGGAGAGTATGATAGTTTATTTGTCTAAATCACGTACTTGTATTACATCAAATGCACGGGTACACTCATTAACTAAAATATCTTTAATTTTAATACATCATTAATTCTTAGATTGCATGATAAAATTCCCTTTCCTCTATATCCCATATGTTTATTCTTTTATAATACATTAATCGAGAATAAATATATTAAAAAGTATATTTAAAAAGTAATACAAAATATGTTTCAGTTTTTTTATTAGAAAAATTATAATCAAAAATAATCCTAACAATAAAAAACAAGAAAAAAATAACAATATGGAAGATTTGCTATTAAAATTGAGTTACGAATACAGTAATTCATAAGATCCATTATGTGATTTTAATATAGCAAACCTTCTATATCTTTATTTTTACCTAAGAATTGTGGATGTTAGACTT